CTTCTAGTTTTGGGTTGTATCAGCTAACTACGATAAATCACAGTGGAAGTAAGCAAGAGAAAGAGAGGTGAAAGCTGTTCAATTAAAAATGTCTTGAGTTTCTGTTTATAATAATAACAATACTATAGTGGCTCATACATGGTGATAATAATACAGTGTAATACTGTAATAATACTACTACTACTAATAATACCCCTGTACTGTAATAATAAGTCACAAAAACTCTTGTGCTCTTTCTTTTAATTCCTAGGCTAATAGAAATGTTACGCTTATTTTGATCTTCTAACCAAGTCAATAATAACCTTTCCATTTCAATAATTAATCCATTATGCTGCTTAGTCATAATTGATGCCTTCATTGCAGCACTGCCTTTCACATGTCCCATTACTCTCACTTTATCCTTTTGTAATTGTTCTGAGAGCCGAGCAACTGAAGCCTAATGCTTTCCCAGTGAAGGATGGCATTTGGCCTTTCTCCTAACACTTAATTATTTCTACTTTCATTTCCACTGTAATCACCATTCTCTTCGCTGCAGGCTCACCTGGACTCACAGCAGACTTGCTCTGGAAGTATGGTCATAAGAGCAAACACAGATTCATAAAATCAAATAAAAAAGTTAAGACGAAAGTGATGCTGTGCTTAAGAGACCCCATAAACAATGAGAGTAGCTGCTAGCATAAAAATGCGGTGTCAGTGAACTGCTTACACCACGTGGGTTTGTTTACATGTATGGAAGAAACTATTAATAGTTCCAGAGTTATTAGTTTATTTAATTATAAATTTTCCTTATGGGGAGCCTTGGCAACCCCCGCTTGTAAGTATGGAATGCCATTCAGTCGGGTCATCCACAATCCAGGGACTGCCTGTAACTACAAACCTTTCAGACATCAAAAAAGTAATGACAGAATACTAAAAACAAGCCTATACACATAAATTTGACAACTTAGATGAAATGGACCAACCCCTCAAAAAGTACAAACTACCACAACTCACTCTGAATCAAATAGATAACTTGAATAGCTCTAAGCATTAAGGAAATTGAACTTCCAATTTTAAAATTCCCAAAACAGAAATCTCTAAGTCCAGATGGTTTCACTGAAGATTCTACCAAATATTCAAGGAAGAATTAACACCTATTCTACACAATCTCTTCCAGAAAGTAGAAGTGGAGGGAACACTTCCCAACTCATTTTATGAGGCCAGTATTACCTTGATACTAACACAAGACGAAGAGAGTATTAAAAAAGAATACAAGAGACCAACATCCCTCATTGATACTGATGCAAATATCCTTAACAAAATATTAGTAAATACAATTCAGTAACATATAAAAAACATCATAAACTATGACCAAGTGGAGATTATTCCAGGGATTCAAGACTGGTTCAATATTCAAAAATAAACATAACCCACCATATTAGCAGGCTAAATAACAAAAGTCACATGATCATGAAAGGTATTTGACAAAATTCACAAAAGGAATTTTACAAATATCAACACCTATTCATGTTAAAACTTTGTATAATCCTTAACAGAAAATAATTGATAAATTGGACTTAATTAAAACGAAAAACTTTTGTTCTGTTAAAGATCCTGTAAGAGATTGAAAAGACCAGCCATAGACTGGGAGAACATATTTGCAATCCACATATCTGACAAACAACTGATATCTAGAATATATGAGGAACTGTCAAAAATAGTAAAAACATCCAGATGCTCCAATTAGAATACAGGCAAAAGATACCGAAGAGATAATTTACCAAAGAGGAGAGAAGGAGGGAAAACAAGCACATAAAAAGATGTTCAACATCACTAGCTATTAGGGAAATGCAAATTAAGGCCACAATGAAATATCACCATCCACATATTAGAAGAGGTAAAATAAAAATTCATGACGATACTAAATGTTAGGATGGATGTGGAGAAATTGAGCACTATATAATAACAAAATAGCAATTTAGCTTTTGAAACACTGTTCTTAGGGAATTGTTAAGGGAAGAATAGCCTAAATCTGGATAAATTTATAAGAACTGGTTATTAAATAGGTTACCCTTCATGACCAGAAACATTTGAATTTAGAAGGTTCTAATCATTTGTTATATTTTATATTATGGTTAGTAGACATAAATATGGAATGATGACAGCTAATTACACTTCTTCACAATTTGATTCCACACCCTGAAATATCAAGTTTTTACTTAAAGCCTAGTATCTATACAATAACATCAAACAGCAAAGGATTTTGTATAATGATGATATCATTTAAAAATTTCTTTGGAATCCAGTAAAAATTACATTGGATGGCTCAGAGGTAGATACTTAACATTTTGTAAGACAAGGTAATCTTTCAAGTCTTCCAGAGAAGACAAGGGAATTTACTTAGTAGTCATGATATGCATCTTGAGCAAGCTACGATCCTGAAGGACCGTTTTTTCTACACCTCTGCTATAGTAACATAGCAGCCATTTGCACCGTGTTCTTCAAACTGCAGACACTGCTGAAAGAACAGGTAGGACTCACCAATTATAATCCAGTCGAGACTGGTGAAGCTGCTGCTGCTTTAGGAGAAGCTTTGTCTCCTGCTGGGCCAGCAGATGCTGAAGGCGTTCCTTTTCAATTTCCAGCTCCATTTTCTGAAGCATCAGTTGCTGCCTCCTATCTTCTGAGAGCTGCTTTTTGACATTAGTTTCACTGGGTTGCGGTGTCCTTCCACCATGCATCAGAGATGTCCAAGAAAGGCCACAATAACTGCAGGATTCTGCATGTGTCTTAGGATGTTGAGGGGCTATGTTTGTAGGATGGCTCTCATTAACATGAGCTACATCTTCAGAAAGTCTATGACCACAACACTGACTAGTTAGACTAGGCTTAAGGTGTGGACATTCCTTCATCTTCAGTTCTTCTGGTAGAACTTTTTCTGTTGGGACTGCATCCATTGGTTTTCTCCCTGGAGATTCATAATTACATGTTCTGGTCTCTGATGGCACCCTATTTAGACCCTCTTTGGAATGAAGAAGGGTTATTGGTTTCAAAGAATTATTCCTAAACTCCGTAAAGGATTCTGAAGCTGAATCCTGATTTGCAGACTTAGGTCTCTGCTTGGTTTGATAGTAGGTTTGTGGTCTGGCAACACTCAAATAGGAACCATCCAGTTCCATAGATGAAGACTGGAGAGTGCTTTTCCTATTTGATACCTAAAAAGAACCACAAAATCACTTGTCAAATAAGTACAAAATAAAACAAGTTTTTTTCTTTTGGCTTTTCAGAAATCAATGATATATGTTTACCAAAACAAAGCTGTTGTTTTGTGTTCTTAAATGCGAAATGAGAGCATTCACACAGATAACAGACACGTACCACAAAGCTACATCCATTTTGAAACAACCTACATTTCAGTAAATCTATATAAGGATGAGAAAAAGTGTGGCTACATGCTGCTTATGCAAGATCTTTGGTGATTTCAGGAGTTGCAAATAATGAGGATTACATAAAATCAACTTTGAGAAGAGGCAAAGGCATTAAATGTTAACCTCTTAAAATGTTTACTTTTGAATACTGAGCCAAGAAATCCATTCAGCCACCTTAAATACCCTTTGATTGGCCATTACACAGCATGAGATTTGATGTAAAACATTTCACCTTATACTGAATAGGATGTTACTTACTTACTGCTAGAACTTTGATGAGTTTTTATAAATATCTTTACAGAACACAGATAAAACCAACCACTTTCAACAAAATATGATTCTAATCAAAAATGGTTATTTAAATACAAAACATTTAATTTCAGCTACAAACATAAGTGATTTTCAATGAAGCTGTTCAAGTGATTACAGTCTGATAGAACTCAGGCAGAAAGGAATCAGTTGCAAATTGCCTCTGACAGGCCAATAGAGTGAGCTTTTCCTACATTTTAGCCTTAAGGCTATTCTATCAGGGAGAGCAAAACTTAGTCTGTATCAATGATTCTCAAACTTTAACGTGTATCAGAATCACCTGGAGGGCTTGTTAAACATAAAACTCTGGCTTCATCCCCAGAGTTTCCAACTGTCTGGAGCAGAGTCAGGGAATTTGCACTTCTAACAAGTTCCAAGGTGATGCTGATGTTGCTGATTTAGGCCCCTACTTTGAAAACCACTGGTCTATATCATGGAATATCTCCAGCTGCCTAACTATTGACCTTGGCCTTGGAAGGCTGAATAGTTACACTTAGCTCAGCTCTGAACATCATTGAATTAGTACAACAAATAAGCAGCTTTTCTTCACGGTGTATTTCAGAAACATGGTGTACCCAAATTCCAAGTGATTGCCCAACAGAAATATTCTAGCTAAACGCAAATGTTGAGTGTGTTACTGATGAGCAACTTGCTCATGAAGGTGGATGCTTGTGATTAACAAAATAATAATAAAAGAAATTAACATAGAAGAATCTTAATCAAACTGGACTGATAGGGGTGCATTTCTGAAAATGAATCCAGCCAATGCTTAGATTCTTCCAAGGGTAGCCCTTTATAACATAAAAACTTCCCTTCAATTTAGATCTTGGGCAAAGCTAAAGAGAACCACCAAGTCCAATTAACTAGCAAGATGGGTTGTTCAAAGATATATTACCTGTAATAGCCGTTACTACTTTTGGGCAGCCAGAATATAACCTTTAACACAAAAGCTGAAAGGAACAAATCATCCACCTTTGAAAGGTGTGTTTCCAAGACTTATTCTATCTATTCTAGATACATAGACACAGACTTTACTGAAAGATAAAGACAAGAAAAAGAACCTAAGTAGACCTAAACAAGTGAAATATCTGACGTGCCTCTCACATCTTTCACTCTCATCTTCCTCTTTCTTTAGGTTTTCATTCAAAGCCCATTTATGTTAACTCTTTACTTCCTTGCCATTTTCTGTCTCTATTCAAGCAAATACAGGGAGCGTTCTGCATATTGAACACTAACCAAACAAGTAAAACCAAAATAAGCAAAAATTCTTCTTGATCTATCCAAATCCACTGAAATACTCTTTCACTTTTCATGGATAATTCTTTGCAGGCTGAGGGAAGCTTACTTGCTCAAGGCTGCAAGAGAAATATGACCTTTTCAGTAAACTAATATATTACAACTTCTATACTAGTTTCCTACTGCTGCTGTAACAAATTACCACAAACTCTGTGATTTAAAACAACACAAATTTATTCTCTTACAATTTTGGAGGTCAGAAATTAGAAATCTCTTTCACTGGGCTAAAGTTAAGGCGTTGGTAGGGCTGGTTCCTCTGGGAGGCTCTGAGGAGAGAATCAGTTTCCTTGCCTTTTCCACCTTCTAGCAGTCACCTGCATTCCTTGGTTTGTGGCCTTTCTTCCATCCTTGAAATGTATCACTCCAGCTTTTGCTTCCCTCATCATCACAGTGCCGTCTCCTCTCACTCCTGCTCCCTCTTATAAGGACGAGTTAGATAATATCAAGCCCACTCAGGGAATCCAGAATAATCTTCCCATCTCAGGATTCTTAATTTGATCACATCTGCAAAGCCTCTTACTTTAAAAAGTCCCTTGTGCCAGGAGTGCAATGCGCACTACCCGAAGGATGGACATATTTGAAACACGGACTTCGGTGGGGGGGGGGGAACCAAGGGGCAACACACGTAACCTAAACAT